CTTCTTCTTCTTCTTCTTCTTCTTCTTCTTCTTCTTCTTCTTCTTCTCCTCCTTCCTCCTTCCTCCTTCCTCCTTCTTCTCCTTCCTCCTTCCTCCTTCCTCCTTCCTCCTTCTTCTCCTTCTCCTCCTCCTTTTCCTTCTCCTCCTCCTCCTCCTTCTCCCTCCTTCCTCTTTCTCCTTCCTCCTCCTCCAGGTGAACACAATGTCTATATTGTGGACAACACGGAACAGTACCGCAATGTGGTAAGAGCAATCCCTCACCCTACATACAACAGCACCACCAAGTACCACAACGACATCGCCCTCCTTGAGTTGGACACCCCTCTGGAGTTCAACCACTATGTCATCCCCATTTGCATTGGTGACAAAGAGTTCACCAACAGCCTCCTTAAGTTCGGACTAGGCACCGTGAGCGGATGGGGGAAACTGGCTTACCAAGGCCGGCAGGCTAGCATCCTTCAGGTCCTGCAAATCCGGTTCATTGACCGACCAACCTGTTTGAGGAGTAGCAGTTATCCCATCTTGGCAAATATGTTCTGTGCGGGTCACCCCGATGGCGCCAAGGATACTTGCCAGGGGGACAGCGGGGGTCCATATACCACGGACATTGAACACGTGTGGTTTCTGACAGGGATCACCAGTTGGGGGGAGCAATGTGCCAAGAAGGATAAATATGGAATCTACACCCGCATTTCCAGATACGTTAAGTGGATAAGAGAGACCACCAAACTACATAAATGAATGTATCCAAAATCCAAATAGCGTGCCTCTTCCTTTCTCAAGAACCATACAATTATGGAGCAGGGTATCCACACACAACTGTATGTCAACTCATAAAATATTTTTATGGTCTTTTTAGAGTTGCCAACAGAAAGGGAGTGGGGAGCAGTGCGGCAGCTTGTAAACCAAAAGTGCATTCCATACGTAGATTTTCAAAGATAGTAACTAGGTGACCGAAGTTTCTGCCATGCAAAATTCTAACTGGAAAGCATGAGTGATGACTCTGGGCTATGAATGTGTCCCATTAGAAAATATGAATTACAATACATCCAGGGAGTGGGGGGGAAATACCAGGGTCAAGGGTGACAATGAATGATGTGCCTCAGAATCAGCTACACCCAGGCAATGCCAGACCTTTTAACTCCCAATAAATCCTTTTGAAGTTTTGGAAGTTTGGCTCAAGACTCATGATTTAATTGGGGTTAAGTGCCAGAATCCTGACACTGTAATTGCTTCCCAGAGATAGATTGAGGGAATTAAAATCATAGAACAATTGTAGAAAAGAATTGAAAAGGATCTTGGAGATCTATTAGTCCGGCCCTTTGCTCAGTGCTGGAATTCTGTCTACCAGAAAGAGAGAAAAAAATTGTAAGGGAAATACTAGTTGTAAGAGCAAAGAAAATTCATGGCATAACAGCCCAGTGGATTAATTTTGGTTATCCAGGGCTTCCCACCGCAATGAACTTATCCTCATTTTAAAAATGGAGTACCGTGATTTCATTGGTGTTTCAAACACAAAGGGAAGGGGAATAAAAATGGCTTGTTTGAGAATTCTTGCAAGGAATTCCAGCAGCAACAACAGTGTGATCTTCAGCAACTGGGAAAGAGTGTAGAAATTGAGATTAAGAAAAGAAAAGTTTTCAGAAGGTGAAGTACCCAATGCGTACTTAATTTGGATCACTAACTTTGAAGAAGTTCTACCTGTCTCTCTTTCTCTCTATCTATGCTTTGAAGTTACGTTGGGCTACAATTCCCAATGTGTATTCCACCCAACGTGCCCACTAACCAGTTGAGAAGTAATGGTGACTGGATCACTCTTCAAGAAGCAAGGCTGGGTGGATTTTCCTAAGTTCCCTACCTTTTAAAAAAACCAAAAACAAATGAGTTTCACAAGGTTGATAACAGAGCTAAATACAGTATTGAAAAGCACATGGCAAAATTAACAGGCATTTACAACACCAAATTAACTCACAGTGCAAATGCTTTGTGATGAACCACAATAAAACCAGCGAATGAATTGCAACATGAAAAGAAAGACGCATCTTTCTTCTGAATCCAGGAAGCAGACACAAAACTCTCGGCACCAAACAAAAAGTCTTCAGGTATATTTCTTTATTTAACAAGGTTCATAATTCTTTTTTTTTTTAAATATAGAGTCAGCTCATTCTTACAATGGCATTTACAGAATCCGTTAAATAATTGGGACAGGGAAGGCATATATTCCACAGCTCAGGGTCGCATTGACATTTTAACACCAGCCTATTTTTAACAGGCCCTTGAAGGTTTGTGCAAAGTTTTTGGAGTTTAGAAGTGCAATCCTATACGTACGCAGTAAATCTCTGAGCACAGCCTAAAACATTAGATTCAGACTTGCTACGTAGGTAAACCGAAGCATGTACAGTTTAGAACCTGGTAGACAAAAGTTAAAAAGACCAAACTGTGCTGTACACATGAGGATGAACACTTTTAAAAATGACCTTTGTTTGGGTTCCCCAGGCCATCCCACTTTAATGAATATATCCTCATTTTAAAAGTGTAGTACCATGATTTCAATGGTGTTTCACGTACAAGGGGAAGAGTGTGAACATGGCTTGTTGTAGCAGCAACAGTGTGATCTTCAGCAGACTAGGAACGTACGTATAAGTGGAGATTAAGAGAAGTACAGCAACATTTTCAGAGGTCCAGGTGAATCTGGACTTTTGAAACAAAATCATCTACCCCTGTCCCAAAACTGGATGTGACACATCAAAGAAAACAGATCAATGACAACTTACATTGACAGTAAATTATTATTATTTTTGCCTTTACACACACCGTTCACTGCCCTGAGTGGTTATGAGTAGCCTGTCACAATAGTTACCCTGTGATTAGAAATGCTTTGGGAGGTTAAATTTGTAACCGTTTGTCTGTAGACACCGAATTACCTGAGCCTACAAAGAAAAATGTAAAAATCCTGAAGGTGCACCCAAAAATAAATGATGGAAAGTCCCTTTTAAAAAGCCTTCAATTCTTGCCTAAGTACAAGTGGGCTCTTAAAGAGCCAAAGCTTATAGTCTTACTACCGACAAGGACATTCGTAATACATATAGTGCAAATGGGATTCTGGATTTAGTTATGGCACATATGTTCCCCCCAACCCCTTAAAAATCCCCGTGCAAACTTTGCTAGACCCTTGGCCACAGAATCCACAGTGAAATGTCTACAATCTGGAACTGCCAAATGACCAAGTCTTGAGACACAACCCATGGATGCCAAGTTCTTTAGACTCTCGATAGCAAAAACAGAAGGGCATTTTACTGACCTCAAAGTTCCTGCAAAACCTACTGAAGTTGGCTTCCTTGAGACCCCACAAGATCTTAGTCAAGACCAGCCAATCCCAGCAAAGGGTGGTTGGGAAAAAAAACCAGAACCTCATCCTTCAACCTGCCCCAAAGCCACGGAACCGTCAAATAAATGCCTTCTCAAAGGAATGCTGTAGAGAGGAAGATGAGGTCTCATCCTTGGGTCAAAAACAATGGAGGTTCCCCAGAAGTAAGGGAAGGAAGGAAAATGAAAAAGAAGAGGAAAGAATGGCTGCCAGTCATGGCCCCACTTGGTGAGGATGTGATGTTTTGATGATAGAAAAAGTAAAGCTTCTTTCAAGTTGAGGTCAACTTGTGATGCTTACAGGGATACGTCCATAGAGTTTCCTCAACCACATTGCCATCGTCTTCTTCTGGAAGGTTTTCCAACTTCCCCTCTAGCCTAGCCCCTTGATGTTCTCCCATCCAAGGATTAACCAGGCTCGATCCTGCTTAGCTTCTGAGCCCAGACCAGAACAGCCAAGGGCTGTCCCTTAATTAGGATGGTAGATGACCGAATAAGTTCTAATTGGCCACTCTGTCCCTTGTTACCATTCCAGGGTCTCCAATGGAGAATTCACAAAGGGCTGGGCCTTAATTCATTAAATTCAGGGGGAGCTTAACTTCCTCAGCCTATCCTGAGCAGCGTCTAAAAAGCAACGGAGAGCAACATTAAACATCAGAAGGCACAGATCCTAGAATGCATGGCTTCTCCTGAAATTCCTAGCTCAGGGATGAATGAATCATAAACACAAGTGTGGTTCTTTAAAGCTACCTTAGCAGACAACAAGACAGGACCTAAATTAAGGCTATTTGCACACAAGCTCCTAACAGAAAAATCTTTAAAGTGCTTAGGAAGTGCAACTGAACGCTTGGCAAGGCTACGGATCAATTTTTGGAACAATGACACCCTCCCTCTCCCCTCCCCCTCCCCCAATTCCCCATCCCACCCCACCACCCGCACAGCAAGCCTGCAAAAAGTTGAAACTCAGGTCTCTCCTCCATCCCAACTCCAGTGTAAATGAAAAAAAGCTTGATGTCTACTAGTGCAGGCTTTCATGGTCAGTGTCAATCAAACCGTGATTAGCTTCTGGGCTAATCAGCCATGGTCTAATGATGTGGTATCCTGACATTTTGCCAGCGACTATGGCTGGCAATTTCAGAGACAAAGCGATGTGTTCTCTAAGACATTTCTTAGCAGCTCACGGGCCAGCAAGCATTAAATGACTTGAGCTCTCGTAATTGTAAGGAGTTAATCTCTAATTGGACTTTGTCAGTTCTGAAAAGTCAGTTTCTGATGAGTTGTCTTGGGAGAAATTCAGTCCTCCAGGTTATGGTTGTTCCAAAGGTGCTTTTTCAAGGGACAACTGGATTTCCTGGTTGTTTTTTTTCTTGAAGATGTTTGCTTCTCACCCAAGAAACTTCTCCAGTTCTGGATGAGAAGCGAAACGTCTTCAAACAAACAAACAAACAAACAAACCCAGAAAGTCCAGTTGCCTTTGGAAAAAGCACCTTTGGGACATTTCTGATGGGTTCTTCATCCAGGTGGATTCATAATTGGTCTCATTTGGAGATGTTTCAAAGGAGATAATTTTGGATTGGCGGTCTTTGGATGATACTAAGGAAGTTACCAGAAGACCAGATTAGACCATGGCTTATTAACCTTCTTACCCTGAACCCTGATGGGAAAAGTCATGCCATCAACCATTCTCAAAGGAAGTTTCCTCCCACTGATGCTTCCTTAGAGGTCTTCCATTTGAGGTGCTCCATATCAAGAATGGACCCCAAGTCTTGCACAATCTAGTTTCCATCAGTAGTTTAATCAAACATTTTTGGTGGGGAAACAGAAGATGGTCTGGCAAGATTTGGCAAAACCAGGTGCTTTTTAGGACACTGTCTCTCAGCGTTGGCAACTTTAAAATGTGTAAACATCAAAAATCCCCTAGTTAGGAGAATTATAAAAGGAGTATCTTATTGGTGAGATTTGTTGTTTATTTTTCCAGAAGCAAAGGGGAAATTTTTTTTCCATATCAATGAAGAAGGAATATAACAATCTTACAATACCTAACATGGAAGCAAATAAATGGTTTTGTACACCATTGAGAGTTGTAAATGATTGGGACACCGTGAAAAACTGAATACATGAAAGAAATGCTCTTAAAGATATAGAAATGATTTAAAATATTTTGAGCAATGAATGATGGATGTCACTGGAGTTATCCCACAGAGTAATAGAGTTAGTCTCTTTCCGTAACATCCAAGATTTAGTTTCTATCAGCCATGATTCTTATGATTAAATTTATTTTTCTCTTGTCAAACCTGATACCCCCTTCAGGGATGTTTATGGCCATGACAACAATGGAGATGATAAAATACAATATACTCCCCTCTTTTTTTTTAATTTAAAAAATGCAGGTTCAGCTTCTTGCCATAGGATCTTAGCAAACCATCTTCATTCCCAGTCTGAACAAGCAAGCATGCTTCTAATCCTCATAACTTACAGACCAAAACATAATTCATGCATCCAGATTTGGCAAAAGATAGCAATTCTCATAGGCACATCTGCTATACCCAACGGCAAGTCATAGATATGGCTTGCTTGGGCTGGACATTATGTCCTCTCATTCAAGTAGGTTTCTTTTTCAAGTCTTGATCAGTTCAGCTGTTGTCCTCCAAATAAAATCATAAGAGAAGGAGGAGGACAAGGAAGAAAGAGTAGGGAGAGTGGAGGGTATGTAAGTGCTTAATACTATTGCTAAATGCTAATTTCTTGAAGTATATTAAGAGGGAGATGAAGGAGAAGGAGAAGGAAGGGAGATGAGAAGAATTGATGGGAGACAAGAAGAAGAAGGATGGGAGATGAGAAGGATAGAAGGGTGAAGGATGAAAGGGAGGTGAGAAGGAAAGAAGGGAAATAAGAAGGGTGAAAGGGAGATGAGAAGAATTGACGAGAGACAAGAAGAGAAAGAGAAGGATGGAAGGGAGATGAGAAGGAGAAAAGTTGAAAGGAGACAAGAAAGAAAGTGAAGGAGAAGGATGGATGAAAGGGAGACAAGGAGGAGAAGAATTGAAGGGAGACAAGAAGGAGCAGGAAAAGAATGGAAGGGAGAGAAAGAGGAGGAAGAGGAAGAGAAGAGCAAAGAGGAGAAAAGTGAAGGAAGAGTGCCTAATACTATTGCTAAATATAACTTCCTGAAACATATTAGATTATTAATCTCTCCACATCCTCTGCTATATTTGAGCAAAAGTCAGGTTTCTTCTAAGCAAGCAAGCAAAGCAGTGCCCAGGCCTCCAAATTCCTGCGCATGCTAATGCCAAAAACAGTTCAGGTGAGCAAGTCACTTGTCCTCACAGGAATACCTGTGACTCCAGTGCTCCGAAACCTACAGTCCCCAAGGATTATCTGCAGGCTGTTGGTGGGCACCCAGCCTTCTTTACTTCGGTTGAGGTTTTTGACCAACCTTTCAGATAAAGGAAGGGAGGAGATGGTGAAGATGAAACAAGCCAGAGAAAAAGCTCTTTGTAAAGCTGTAGAACACTCTCACACCCTTCTTCTTGCCTACTTTTTGTAGACCAGAATTTCGACCTCTGGAGCACCTACCACTGACCCTTTCCATCTTCATGCAAGAGCTGAATGACATCCCCATTCTTCACCAGAAGTTCATCCGAGTCTCTCTTCTTGCAATCTGCTAAGGCTTTATATTTTCCTGGAGACTAAAGCACGAACAATGAATGTGTGATTTAGACCAGAAATATAACCCTCCACCTTAAAATGTAACTTCAAAATTGGCTCTTCGGAGTGATCCAAAACCAGTCCAACCATGGTACAGAAGGCCCCATCATCCCTGTGACCTTCAGAACAACGCTTTTCCAAGTTGGATCATTCCATGTTAAACATCCCATGTTTTGCCTAGCTCTGGTTTAGGATAACCTTCCCCAACCTATTGCTTTGAAGTTACGTTGGGCTACAATTCCCAATGTGTATTCCACCCAACGTGCCCACTAACCAGTTGATTGCCATCTTCTTCTTCAGTGTCAGAGCAGGTTGAGAAGTAATGGTGACTGGACCACTCTTCAAGACCTTCACAGATTTCTAATGAATGGGACATGCCTGTCCAAGCTGCATGAGAAGAGAAGAAATAATCCTTGTTTTAAGATGTCAAGCTACTGAAAGGGTCATCTCTTTCCATGACTTTACTCCTGGGATCAACTTTAGGATCTCCAGCTTTAAATATTATCAGCCAAAAGAAATATGGTTGGAGGAGGGATGTTTTTGTGGTGCCACCTCAATTTTAGAATTTCTTTCCACCTCTGAATCCTTAACAGATGGCCCATTTCTTCCTTCCCTTTGGTTTGCAACCTCCATATTGTACTTTTCTCCAGTTTTCCTTATTGTTTGCCTCTACATGTGATAAAAGGATTAGGAAAACACAGGTTCCAATTTAGATCCATGGGAAGACAGGAAGGTCATTGGAAAGATTCTTAGATGTTTATTATCTGTTTTCTCTGTTCACTAAAGCTTGCTTTTATAGAACGCTATAACAGTGTTCTCCTTTGTCTTTGACAAATCTCTGCAACCAGAAGTTATAGCAGACTGAACACAATGCCCTAGAAAAAAAAGAGTCTCCAAACTTGGCAACTTGAAGGCTTCTAGACTTCAATTTCCCAAAATTCCCCAGGCAGCATGGCTCTCTGAGGAATTCTGGGAAGTTGAAGTCCACAAGTATTAAAGTTGTTAAGTTTGAAGACTTCTGTCCTAGACGTCTCATTGCTCCTTGAGCTTCACAAGTTCTCCAAAAAATGCTACACCCCACCCCAAAATGTGCATTGTACCTCCTGTTGTTGACATCCTCCTCAAACCAAAGTACCACCAAATTCCCGAAGATGATCAGTCCCCCCCCCCAAAAAAAAGGGGGGGGGAGAAGAATCTACACAGATACATACGTTTGCTAGGTTTGCTCTGGGAAGAGGCAGCGAAGTTCTCCACGGCTACGGGGCTGGTACGTTCAGAATCATTCTCCTCTGAGCTTAGAGAAGCTCTGGGCTTTTTCCTGGAAGCACACAAAGTCCATTCAGGAGTGATGTGGTGGCCTAGAGGTGGAACTCTCACCTCACGTTCAGGAGGCTGTGAGTTCGATTCTAGGTAGAGGCTGATATTTCTCTCTCTGGGCACAATGAGAATATATCTACTGAACAAAACTCGGCACTGGTGACAGGAAGGTCATCTGGCCAGTAAACACTCAGATCCATTCAGTTGCCCCGACTCCACCCCACAAAGGATTATGGGGTCATTAAACGACAAACAACAACACAAAAGTCCATTCAGGAGATCAGAAGGAACAAGGTTAAAACCTTGGTTTGGCATCTTTTACGGAGCAGACTTAATCAATGTTTCCTGGGTCAAAATGGACCACAACACAATTAGCTCTGGGTTGCAGGTTTTTCTCAGATTTTGAGATCCAGGATTCCATTGGAAAAATGGATCAATTTTTTTTAAAAAATTGAGAGGCAAAATGTGCCCATTATGAAATTTTCCAGGCAAAAATGCATATATATTGAAATTTCTTTTTGGAAGGGCAGTGCAGGAAGGGGAAAACATCCTTTAATCCCAAATATTCACTGAATGGAAGTGTATTTCCTTCTGAGCAATTTGGGGCATTTGCATAAGGACTTCATTATGCAAATGGAACAAACGATGCCATTTGCATCAATTATGGAAGGAAGTCGCCCTGCTAGTCTGTCATTTAGATAATCGTGTCCTTAGGCCAATAATAGTAATTAGCATGGAATATTAGTTTGTTCCACGCTGTGTCCATTAAACTGAAGCCTGATAAAAGTTTCATTGCACTGGAATTGTTGGCGTATGTAAATAATGACTTTACAGGTTGGGAATATTTTTTCCCAAAAGTCAGAATGATATAGAAATTCAACGGTAGTGATTTATGAAAAAAACATATAAATTATCTGAAGATTGCTTGGGTGTTTTCTTTTTCCATGACTTACCCATCACTCAATGGAGGAGAAAGTTGAATTGTATCAGTACACAAAGGTGACACTTGCTTCTCATCTGTGAACACGATTCAACATTGTGTTAGTTCCATATCTTTTGTTTACCAAATGTTCTCATGGTTAGAAATGGGGAAATTTGTCAGTATCCAGATCTGGGAAGACAATTCAGGATTAGATCTTTTGGTTTGGTCCAGAAAATAATAAAAAAACTTTACAAAAGGCCCGCACCATTAAAGATATCTTCTTCATGGATTTAATTTTTAGCTTTCCAAAAATGGACACACATTTCCCAGTTCAGACTCTAGAGCCAAAATCATCCAGGTTTTGTACATGTCTTGAGGACTTTCTAAACTAGGATTCCTTACCTTTGATAAGCTGTTGCTGCTTGAACAAAACCTTTCGGATTTCATTTAGCCAGGTCATCTTCAGGTCAAAGGTTTGTGCCTAACAGAAGATGGTAAGATTTTAAAATCAAAATTCCTCTTTAGAATCTGATAGAAACATTCAAAGAACCTGAATTTATTTTCCTCTCGGGAGTGGTGTGTATCGATAGAAGAGAATATTTATGGCTCAGGGTTGAATGGAGGGGTCCTTGGTGCTCTCTGAACTTGATTGTTTTCTTGAAGACGTTACCAGGTAGGTAACATCATCAGTGTTGGATGTGTGCATCACTCAGCCAAGTCAAAATCACACCAAGGAAATGGTCACGATTATGCAAATGGCAACAAAAGCTCATTCAACTTTATAGAACTTAATTAGCAAAGTTTCATATCGTGCCAGCTTTATTTGAGGGCTGTTCATCCTATGGAGGGCCAAGAACTTGCTGGTTCCCCTCCAAGAGGTGAAATTTGGGGTTTGGTTTCAGAAACTTCTGGTTCTTGTCCCTCAATGTGAACATTCCAGATGTTCCAGGAAGGCTACCTGCACAACATAGACTTCTTCTCGGCCGCTGTACCAGATCTCAAACTTGCGAGGGTCTCCCTTCACGTTTTCTGTGATTCCAACAGCATTCATCTAAAAGAAAGAAGAGATTCACATGCAGAACTTGAACGAACAACTTTAGCTGGTCATCACCATCCTGTGTGACCTTTCCAAATGACTACTGACTCTCCCTTTCAAGTCTTCCTTACAGTAACAACTTCTTCTTCTTCTTCTTCTTCTTCTTCTTCTTCTTCTTCTTCTTCT